CTCGAAATTGAATTACTCGTGTGAAACTAAAAAAATTCAGCAGTACATAGCACAAAAAGGAGTCATAAAAATAGGGTTATCATCGCGTTACCTTTACATTAATATGTAACTGATACGAAAATTTTTTACGGTTATATTTTTCCTTCGTATCATTACTTCATATACACTTTTTTCACAACTGAGCGACAGAGCAAGATATCAGAGCGTTATTCTGGAAAATTGTAAAGGAAATAGTAATTTTCTCAAAGAAATATGGGCTATAGGGTACATTCGAAACTGCGAAATTCTAGCAAATTCTGGAAACTTGTCGCGAATAGAATTCTCATAGGCTCAGCTGGAAATAGAACGGAAGCAAAGGAGAAATCACATTTGCAAAGATCTCTTGGTTTGAAGATTTCGAAATGGCGTTTTAAAACGGGTACAGATGACGTAAATGCCGATTTTCGAAGCAATTTTCCACAATATTAATAAGCTAAAAGGTTGTTCAAGATAATGTTGCTTTCGCGAGCCTTCTTTTTAAGTCCCACGTTATGACGTAAAGTGGAAGTTTAGAATGCATAAGGTTGAAAGGTTTATTTTGAGAAAGCGAAATACGCATAAAATATATGAGAAAATAAGATTTGAACTGAAAAAAAAGATTTCTTGCCAGGACAACATAAACAACAACTAATTCTTATCCGTAGTGGAAATTCAGTTAACACTCCAAGCTTGCCATAACAAAATGCAAGAAGAGCTAAATCAATAGTATGCAAAGTTCCGGCTTGCATTGAGAAGAGATGGGGCTTGGATGGTGGTAAAATAACGCGGAGAGAGCGAAGAGCTGTGAAACGCTATGCTCTCCCATACACACAAATTCAAACAAGCGAATGATGTACAGATGTGACAAACAACGACCGAACAATAGAGGATTCTGTTCGAAACGAAGCGACGAAACAAAAGCTCTCCCAAAAGAAGGCAGTTCCATGAGTCTTCCCAGTGCTTCTCCGATTTCAAGCACCCTGAGAATGTCGTTCTTGGGTCGAAAAACGAGAGGAACTAAGAAATATATACTTCTTCGTCAACTTTTGTCGGATAAGGCAACTGAGCCTGAGCCAGCCCCAAGAGATTTGTGGCTGAGAAGGCATCAATCACCTAATTCTATGCAACAATCGCCTCAAAATCGGGGAAGGGTTGGAAGGGTAATAGGAAAGAGGGTTGTGAGGATTCATTCTACCACGTAATTTAAATTTCGATTGCATGCTAGGTAACGTTCAATGATCAAGAATAACAGCTAAGATAATGAAAACTGCAACGGTATACCCTAGATGTGAGACCGGGACGAGAACGAAAATGGAACATTGACTGAAATTTTTTTGGAAAGACCATAAGCGCAAAATGGCTAAGGCCTGGTGATAGCAAGTTCTCAAAGAATTAAGTTTGCTATTAAACATATGGGAAAAATTCTGGAGAAATTGAATGAATCAAAAAAAAATCTTGATCACCTCGCTGAGAAGTATTTATGAGGACTAATAACTAAGAGAAACTTGTGAAAAAGTCATTTTCGTTTTCAATTTCTATTTTTATTATCGATCTTTCTTCTTAACTAGAATATTAACTGAAGTATTCTGTGCTTATCACATGTGTCCAACAATTTGCATTAATGTGCGTACTGCTTCTATTCTATTTTCAAAACGCTCGCTTTTCTATGCTATTTATTATAAAAAATATTGACGGCATCATAGAAGGACATGATTTCTGAGTCCCTTGTGAAAGTTTAGTGTCTTCTTGCCCAGAAATATTGTCTAAAGGGAGTGGTATTAAAATGCTAAAGAAACTGAATACTCTCACTTTGCTGTCTTCATTTGGAGTGCCCTGATGACTCATCCACGTCCTATAAATAACAGTTGAAGGAACTTTCTCTCTTTTTGTACGGGTATTAGCATATAACGACATTTTTTCTCTGTCTTCTTTTTAAGATATACTTACTGCAGCCTTAGACGCACTAATTATGAGAATTCGATGTTCGTCTGACTATAAGTTCAGGAAATGAATCATCTCTTGAAGTCAACGTCGCGGAACTTGCAAAGATTTATATATCAACAAGTCACATTTATTTTGGAGTAAAAACTACCTCTTCGAAAAATAAACTTTAAAAATAGAAAGGCAACATAATGTCCGGTTTCAATTGTATTGAATGTTAGGAGTGAATGCTAATAGTGCAAGCAGTGATTTGAGGGTAATTTTTCGGCTAACAAATCGAGAAAAACTCATTTATAAGCACTTTCAAAATTACATTTCAGGACTAAGGAAAAGATCGAATTTGATACGGATACTAGCTTGGCAAGGACAACAAAGGAGAGATTTTTCTACTGAAACCTGCTTATATTAAATATGCCTGAATAATAAGCTGGGCTCATTTCGCTGCATTATGAATCCCGGACAATGGAAAATGTGATTAAAATTGGCAGAACAAAAACAAGTCTTGGAATTATAAACAAGCAAGCTTCTATCAAATCATGTGAATAAACTAACCAGCTTACGAACGAAAGCTTATAAACAAATTCCAACGCCTGAATTCTTTACGCCGAATACGAACAGAAAGAGAAATAACGACTGGCGGGCCTGATTTCACGCTTCAATGCTCATAATTTTCGGAAAGACAGGTCCCTGAGGGAGTTGGCAGCGTCAATCTTTGTGATTGAAGACTTATACGTTGGGGAAATAGTAGACTATAACGTAAATAATGTGATTTATGCTTTTTAAGGAATGGGTTCCCACGAGAACCGTGGGAGTGGGAGGCAAAAATGAGTTAAATTTGCAAATTGTAAACCATGCACAATAAAAGCAGCATTTTATAGTATCACAGCAGAAAGGGACCATCAAATTTCTTATGGTTATATAGAGGCAGGAAATAGCTTAGCAAACAGAAATGAGGGCAATAGATTAAAGAAAAGGATTCTGTCTACTCAGTGAGCTTTTCCAATGAGATATTGAACGTAATGGCCTAGCAGCTTCCGCTACATACGACCAACAATGGCTGGAAATCATGTAGGGAAAATTGTCCAGTAGTTCACGTAATTGTTTCCGAGTTGTCCAAAAGTTCGTTAGCAGGTGCAAGCACTCGGTCTGAACTACTTGTATGTATCAGTATATTCAGCTATCAGACTTTTTCCGATCTGAGATGTTAAAAAGTCTTTGCCAAACCTTGAAAAAACGTTCATCAAGAAGTCAGAACAGATACAGTCACACAGATAGAAAATCAGTTGGAGTGCCTCTTCTACAAGCATAAATACAGTAAGTACAAGACGCTTATCATTAGCGCGTACTTTGTTTAAGTTTTGCTTTTCTTTAGCGATGAAACTAACAAGCAGTGGAACTTTTGAGCAGATTCCAAGTTATTAGGTATGTTAAGGATTCGTCCACAGACGATGCCTCATTTCCTTGACATTGAGTCGAATCGTAAATCAATCATTAATCAAAATGACCGTAGCTCTCATAATTATATACTTAAGGTTTTGCATTGCAACAGTAATTGCAAAGCATTTTACTTTCTCGGGGCGAAAAATTAGAGTAGGATTTCGTTGTGGTTTCTTCTGTTCTTAGGTGGAAAACAGTGGCGTACCCAGGATTTCGGCTCGGGGGGGGGGGGGGCGCGACAAAAATTTTTTTCTAAAGAAGGGGCGTGGCGTTAGCCACGCACTCCGAAAATTTTTTTGGGGTGCTTCTCAAAACTTTTGCGGGTCCCCGACCCTTAAAATCTAGAAAAAGGGGGCGTGGCGTCAGCCACGCCCCCGAAAAAATTTTTTTTACAAAGCTAATTTGAATTTTTAAAAATTTTTAAAAATTATTTTGATTATTTACAAAAATAAACAAGTCACTTGCACATTTTTATAACCCACATAGGTAACTTTCAAAAATTTCGCGACCCATTCTCGGGGGGGGGGGGGGCGCGCGCCCCCCCCGCCCCCCCCCCCTCGGTACGCCACTGGTGGAAAATGATTGAGAGCGTCAACTGGGTCATTGCCCAAACGGCATCTATGACTCATTCGTGGACCATGAACCCAACTTTGAAACGTCGCACAATACCGTACTCCTTCCGACAGCCCAAACAGCGTCTGATGCTACTTAATGAACGGAATCCAGGGTCAACCACAAATGTGTCTATGAGGCACTCGCTTTACTTGATCCGCTTGATCCACTTAATCCACGCTTCGTCATTGGTCTCAGAACTGAATTGACCAATGATGAAGCAATAAAATCACGCAGATCAAGTGGACAACCACTTCGCTATTGGTTAGTTCACTGAATTGAGGATGAGAAGTGGACCAAGTGCATTAAAGGCACCGTCCATCCTAAGTTGAGGGTGTTGAGCTTTTGGCAGCATATAATAGTAGAGCTCCCTATCAATCCAATGCCCAAGTCGCTGCGCAAAGTGCCGCTTCGGAAGAAAATCGCCTTCGGAATAGCGAAGATGTACGAGGACCCCCATCCATGCCCGCCCTCCCCCATCCATGCCCGCCCACTTGTGCGCGCCATCCAATCACCGTTCCGGAAAGCCGGCCTGTGGGTTCTCCGGAACGGGGATTGTCGGGGTTTCCGCGCATTCTCGACTTCATATTCGGAACATGAGAAGGCCCTGAAACGACAAAAACGTGGAAGTCCAAAATCTGAGTGGACGGTGCCTTTAATAAAAGGATTAAGAGGTTCAATTATGATGCGTGCCTGACCTGCCGCTTAGGGTTTGATTTGGACCCGCCATCTGTATTCACATACTAAGTCCAGATACTCGATGAATACTCGATTTTGCCTGCACACGCCCTTGAGCTCACGTTTTTAAGTGTCCACCTGCATAGGTATAGAAATTGCTTCGGAAGCTTGGCTCCCAGAGCAGAAATTTGAACACTTCGAAAACGGCGTTTGAAGCTGCCCCGGCGATAATCTCCGCTCCGGCGCAGAATTTGCGCCAACATTTGCCGCAGGATGTTCAATATTTTTTGGTGTCGCTTATAAGTTTTACAACTCACAATTTTGAAGGCTGTGTTAACAAGAGCATTACAGAATGTCTGCCAAGAGGCAGAGCTCGTTGTTCTCATTTTTCACACCGAAAGCAGGGACAGCTTCTCCATGCTCAACTCCCAAATCGACCAAAGTCAAAGAACCTGCGAAAAGGGAACCAGTAAATGATCCAGATCCAGACACTGAAGAAGGTATTCTTTCAGCAGTACAATTATCAGGCTCTTAATTTACTTAATTTAACAGCTATGCTTGCATTTTTAGCCGTATTTTCCGAGTATTTATCTTTATCCCGAATCTGCACTCTACTAAAAGATCTATTTCGGAAGAATTAGTCTGAGTTGTAATTGCGGGTTTGTGCATTGCAACTTTTCCAACTTTCAAACCAAAAGGAACGTTCGAGAAAAATTTGTATGAATGTTAGGTCTGTGACGCAGGCAATGCACAAACTGCGTCCATTGCCGCGTCGCGTCTTCTCCCTTCTCTTTGTGGTGAGAAGGTAGCAGAAGATCGTAAAGCCGCAGTTCGTGCTACGTCAGTGGCTCAACACCAGAAGTCATCTTTTGCATGAGATTTCATTTTTTGCCCTGCACTACACTTGCAAAACCTAACCTTCTTACAGAATCTCGAACATTAAAGCGTGTGAATAATGAAGCAGATTCCTCTCCAGTTTTCCCCAACAAAAAACCCGTCAAAAGGAGACGAGTTATTCTTTCGTCTGATGATGAAGGGGATGACGAGGATGAGAATCTTCTCAGTGTGCGAACACCACCTCCCGCTCAGGTATCTTTTCATTTCATTTTTTACCGCGTTTCTTGTGCAGTTATGAGCTTAATTTATAGAGCAGTGTCGTGTCATCATCTACTCCTATGGCTACTGAGTTTGCCACACCAAAAAGCGCTCGTCCATTGCGACCGCTCAAGGAGTGTGCTACTCCGCTTTCAACTGCGGAGGCAGAATCATTCATCGACTCATTTCGTATTGAGGACGATTTGGTGAGTCCAGGATTATTCTAATAACGAGACACTCTCTACCCCTTCTTGGTGTTATTTCGAATTCGACTGATTTCGTGTAGGATGTGTCCGCTGCTTCCATCGATACATTAGATCGCACTATCTATCAAGTTGATTCGAGCAGTCGGAATCCGATGAAAGAAGATAAATTAGCTATGGTAGACGAAGAGAAGTTCCCTCACGAAACGCTGGCCTTCTTGAAGGTAAATCCTTTATCTAGTTAGCTTTTGTGATCCTCTGCTTTCACAATTGTCTTTGAGACCGGCCATACTATTCCAGGAGGTGACTCCTGCGAATCCTGTAATTCGTGCAATTCCTGTGATTCCTCGAATTCTGTGCCGCACTACGGATCACTTTGCGAACTTGCGTTTGGTACATTATTTTTCCACAACATACATCGTTGCGGGACAGCAGGAATCACAGGAACCGCACGAATTGCGGGAACAGGAATAGTATGGCCGGTCCCTTTACTATCTCATAGTCAAAGCTTCGAATAACCATGAATAGTGTAGGAGACTCTCAGCAGCAGAGCGGGCGAAGCACTACAGACGTTTGAACACGTTGAAAAGCTTGTCTAACCTCCATTTTAAACATTACTTTTTGTACTCTCTTGCTATAAAAACTTGCGTCTGGGCTATCAAATCTGTAGGTTTGAGTTGCAATGGCTCGCCCGCTATGCTCTTAGGCCTTGGACATACCTCATGCGATGTCATTCGCGACGCAATTTCGCAATACTCCATTTGCCGTAACTCATCGTAAGGGGTTTCTGAATGTACGGAAAAGAGCGCATTTTACCAACTTACTGAAGTTATACATGTTTTCCATTCGGGGTCTGCCAGTACGTCTGGCAAATTGCCAGATCGTATGGCGACTGAAATCGCGTGAGGTATGCCGACGGCTTTAGGTGTCGACGATAGTAAAAATTTTTTAGTCAGAGAATATACGTGATGCACAAGGTCGCCGTCCTAATGAAGATGATTATGACCCGACAACGTTGTTCGTTCCTGCAGACTTTCTGAAAGAGCAGTCACCTGGTACGTTATTGGTCGTCTGTCACCTTCTTTCTACGTGTTTAGCATCCTATACCTTCTGTTTCCGGTCATAAACAATGGTGGACTATCAAGAGTAAAAACTTTGATACTATCTTGTTGTTCAAAGTGGGAAAGTTTTACGAAACATATCATATGGATGCCATGATCGCTGTTGAATGTTTGGGACTATCCTTCATGAGAGTAAGAACCAATATCCTTATGGAGTTCTGGTTATCTAGAACTTTGTTTTAGGGTGGCTATGCACATGCTGGCTTTCCAGAACCAGCTTACGGAAAGTTTGCTGACCAGCTGGTTTCGCGTGGATACAAGGTTGCCCGAATAGAGCAGACGGAAACACCACAACAGTTGGAAGAACGAAATCGAGCCGTCAAGGGCGGGAAAGAGAAAGTAGTGCGTAGGTAAGTTCCCACTGTTTCTCCTTCTTTTTGACATGGGTTTTAATTTTTATTTTACGCTTTATTTTTACCTATGTAAGTGTAACAATCGAAGTTTATTCTATAGATCGCATGGTGACTCCATTTAGTTCCGGCATTGATGTTTTAGGGAGGTATGTCGTGTTACCACATGCGGAACTCGGACATACTCAGTGTTAGATGGTTGCAATCTCTATGGAGGTGAAACCGATAACGGAGAGACTCAGTCCAAGTACTTGCTCAGCATAAAAGAAGTGGTAAGAATTTGTTATCCTAAACTTATCAAGAAGCCATGTACCTTCAGGTCGAGGGTCATGTGTCTACATACGGTATCTGTTTTGTTGACACATCTGTTGGCAAGTTCTTTCTATCTGAGTTTCGTGATGACGACTACAGTTCGACTTTACGAACACTCATCGCAAACTTCACTCCTGTGCAGGTGATGGTTCGATTCTGTATTTAACAAATTTGTAAGTTTATCTAGCCTTTCTAGGTACTTTTCGAGAGAGGGCACCTTTCTGCGCAGTGCAAGACAGTTTTGAACGGCATGCTTGGGACAGTGCAAAAAGAAGGACTGGCACCAAAGAAGCAGTTCTTGGAAGCGGAGCAGACACTGAAACTGGTTAGTTTTGCTAAAGTTGTTTGGTCCGTTACATAGACATTCTGCTTCAGTTATCCGACGAAGCGTATCTTGGTGCTGATCACAAAGCTTGGCCTGGGACCTTGCGCGACATGCTGGTGGAGGATTCGGTTGTAGCGAAGCCGAAGTTGGACGCTATGCTCACACTTAGCGCTCTGGGAGCTGTGATACAGTACGCTTGCTGGAAATGCGAGCCTTTGAAAGACTAAATGTCCTTTTTATAGCTATCTGCAAAGATGTCTGATTGACGTAGACATGATTACCATGCGTGATTTCAACAAGCTGGAGCCACTAGAGGAGAACTCGGGCATTGATGTCACTAAAGAAGAGGAATGGACCAACCGGCAAATGATTCTGGACGGCATAACCCTCGACAACTTGAACCTTGTTCCTGGAGAACACACTGATGCACAGGCTGCTTCGCTGTCGCTGTACAGTACTGTTAACAAATGCCAAACTCCTTTCGGTAAGTTTTTTTGAGACATGTTCATGAAAGAAATTTTGTCTTTCAGGGAAGCGACTTCTGCGGCAGTGGATATGCGCACCAACATGCGATGTGAATGTGGTAAAAGCTCGCCAAGAAGCTGTTGAATGGCTCATGTCTCCTGCTGCTGCGCGCTTCAGTGATAAAACGAGCGAGCTGCTTCGCAAAATGCCAGATTTAGAAAGACTTTTACAAAAGTGAGTAAAGTTGTACCCTTTACGTTTACTGATATACTTGTTCCTTTTAAGAATTCATACTCTTGGCCTCAAATATCGCGCTGAAACGCATCCAGATAGTCGTGCTGTTATGTTCGAAGCAGCAACTTATAATAAAAGGAAGATTAAGGATCTCTTAACTACGTTGGCGGGTTTCCAAACTTGTTATGATCTCATTTTGTTGTACGACAATTTTCGTCAGGAGCAGGAGGGGTGAGTGAGGACTTTTTGTGATTTACTTGCTCTCATTCGCTCAAATGTAATCTTTCAGTTGTCAATTGATTGAGCAATGTATAGGATTAGACGAGAAAATAGATTTATGCTCTCACTTAGAACATTTTGCTGTGAGTTAGCTTATCACTGCTTTTCCCTTACGAAAACAATCCAGATTAATTTCTAGAAATCTTTCAATCACTCTGTAGCTGAAAAAGAAGGGATGATTGTACCGCAAAAGGGACAGGACGAGGATTATGATAGCGCTTGCCGTAGTTTGGATGAAGCGATACGGCAGACCGAAATATACAGGAAAGAGCAAGAAAGCAAGCTTCGATGCAAGGTAACGACCCACTTTTTATGCCTCTCACATTGGTAACATTCTTTCTGCTCTAGATCACTTACTTCGGCAGTGGAAAAAACAGATTCCAAATGGAAATAGCTGATAGTGTTAGCGTCCCGAGAAATTACGATTTGAAATCGCGCAGGAAGGTAGGCTGATTGTCTCCTTTGTGCTCTCTATTGTTGATAGAATGAAGAAGCATTCAGGGATTTGGGCGATACTCCACCGAGACGCTTGACGAGCTTATAGAAGAGGTGTTCAAAGCAGAAGCAAATAAAGATAAGCAGCGAAATGATGCGACGCGGAGGGTGTTTTCTGATTTCGATAGCAGGTATTTCACTGGGTTGGTTTTTGAAAACTTCAAGATTTCAACTCTAAGGCGGTCGATCTGGTCTACAGTGCTAAACCGCATAGCTCAAGTAGATGTTTTGCTCTCCTTAGCACGATACTGCCAGACTTGTGGACTTCCTACTTGTCGTCCGGAGTTCGTTGTCAACTCAGGGAAGGTAAAGGCATTTTTACACTGAGTCTACCGAAATTGGGCTACATTGTGGTTCAGCCTTTCCTTGAAATTGAAGAGGGTTATCATCCTAGCCTCGCTGTCAAGTTACCTACAAGCGATGGATCCTCTGCCTGTACATACATAGGTGAGACATGACAGTGACTTGGTTTTTGTCATTTACGAAGTTTCAAGTGTAAGCATATTTCCGTTTGATTGAATGATTTCAGCCAATGACTCGCATTTGGGTGGAGATCATCCTCCGACGGTGCTTCTGACTGGGCCCAATATGGGTGGAAAATCTACGCTGATGAGACAAGTAGCCGTACTAGCAGTTCTTGCACATATGGTAATTTGGCTACCGCGTGCTTCACGATTTTTTTACATGGCAGCGTCCTTGATTGGATGAATTTAGGGGTCACTTGTACCTGCTCGCTCGATGCGTCTCTCTCCTGTAGATAGAATCTTCACCAGAATTGGAGCGAATGATCGGCTTACTTGCGGTACGTGACAGCAATATCGCATCGAGTAATGGAATCATTGTTCATTTGTAGGTCAATCGACGTTTTTCGTAGAATTGAGAGAAACATTAGTAATCTTGCGAAACGCTACGAAGCATTCGCTCGTACTTATAGATGAATTGGGTCGAGGTACCAGGTAAGAACATCCACCCAGAATCAACCTAGGCACTTCAGTCTCACAAATCTGAGCCGTAATGATTTTTTCAGTACTTTCGATGGAACAGCCATTGCATCTGCTGTATTGTCGGATTTGTCGCGACGCATTGGATGTCGCTCCTTTTTCTCAACTCACTACCACTCATTGTGCAGATCAGCCTCAGTTAACCCTAGTATAACTTTAGCGCACATGGTAAGCGTAGTTTTCCTTGGTTTTTCCTAGTGGAATATTTGTCTTTGAGGCTTGCATGGTAGAAAATGAGAATGAAGCTAATCCTACCGAGGAAAGTGTAACATTCCTCTATCGTCTGGCCGATGGTGTTTGCCCAAAGTCTTATGGATTCTATGCTGCAAGGCTTGCCGGTGTTCGAGCGGAGGTGCGATTTCGCATGTAGCGTCGAACGTGAAATAAAACTAATAAAATTTCAGGTAGTGAAAGAAGCATACGATGCGAGTACTTTGCTATTTGATGCGGTAAATCGCAAAAAGATGGCAATTGCGGCCATAAAAGCAGCCGCACGCTCTGGTGGATCTGTGGAGCAGCTGCGTGAAATGATTGAAGCTTTGTAAATTGATAATAACTTTTCTGACGCTTCAACCGGTAACCTACTTTAACTTTCACAGCTCCATTTGCACTATTTATCTAATATGCACTTCTTGCTTGTACTTGTTCTATATACGGTGTGAAATGCGGTCATAATTTATTGTCATGTTGTCAGAATATATTCGGATTGCTACAGGTTAAAATTTATCTTTGAAGCATGTTGGATTGTCGTTGGTAAAGCTTCCATGTGTGCTATATGCTCAGGTATCCTGTCCCGTCAGGCACGCATGAATTATTTCACCTGTTGTTTTCGCAAGCAAACTCGCTCGCAGCTGCATAGACTTTACCTCAGGTCGTCTATAAATATGCGTTCACATGTGCAGAAACAAGAGTTGAGAAGTTTGGATCTCCAAGTATCCATCTGTCACTGATATTTAGACTTATCTCATTTCGTGATAAAATTATGCATAGTGGACCCTGGAATTTACCTCGCCTATATCAATTTTGAGGGCTGATAGACCGTACCAACCAGGTGGTTTCATTACGTTCCCTGAGTCTGAGTGTATAGTTGGCGTGTCGATATAAGACGCTGCAACGGATCGTATTTTCAAAATCGTGACGACGGATTTTGCTGCGGACTTTGCGCCCACAGAAGCATAAAACGCACAGGCAAGAAGGCAACACCTCATCGTTCAGCTCAGTCACTTCCAGTGTCTAAATATTATCATACGTAAGTAGAAAAAAAACCATTCGCTAGAGGTGGAAACCGAGAAAATGCGATTTCCAAGTGGCGTGCGTGTCGCACGCGGTCGTGCCATTCACGATTTTTCAAATGCCCTATACAGGCCAATGCTTAGTTTATGTGACACGCGGTGGCATCGCGAGGTTTTAAGTAGGTGCTGCTCTAGCACGCGAGCAACTGTGAACACCCAAACCGTTCTTTTTTTGTCCGTTGTGAATTTGAATGGGATCTGTTTCTTCATGTGGTTGCAGTCTCAGATCCACAGAAGAAAAAATCACTGGAAAAAAAATGCCACAAACGCGCCACACATTGCCAATCAGTGCTAGAACGGATGCATGACTTCGCTCAGCGATAGAAAAAATCCTGTGAACATCTCGTAATTCTGAAAATTCTGCAGTCGTAAAGCATGTTCCGGATTTGATATCGGAATTACTATACCAGCTCCTTGGGGACTACGATTTTTTTGGATTGCCTCTCATTGTTCATAGAAGATAAAGATATAAAGGTTTGTGGGATGTGTTCTCCTGGAGTATAGATAAAAGACCAGTCTGTTTTCTAAGCTGTGGTTTTCGGTCTCTCAGCAATGATAATTAGCCTAAGCGGATTTGTTTACCCTGCATTATGCAAGAATGCTGACGAGGATAAACACGGCGGAGTCCGGAAAACCGTACACGTGGCTTAGCTATATTATCATCTTCAGTGATATTACGATCACTTTATCCCTCCACGTTCTGACTCTCGGATGTTTGGCGAGCTCTGCCATATTCCATCCATCTTTGACACACAAGGTCAGATTCACGTTCCACCTTTAGATTGTATTTTTACAAAAAATTTGAAAGCGTATTAGATCGCGCCGATGGTGCAAGTGCGTCTTCCAAAGTATCGATTCGAAGTTTGCGCAGTCTCAAGTTTACCACTCTTAGTAGTAAGTTTGGTTGGAGTTGGTTCTTTTTAAGCTTTTTCTCTTTTTTTATCTTTTACATTTTCTATTCTTTGATTGTTAAATCGGTTTTTTATTTCTACAAGATCATTGCTTACATCTTCTATAACCTCTCATCACTGTTTTCTGATTTCTCTTCATTTTTTCCTGAAAAATTGATTTGAAAGTGGTGGACTATCGGCTAGGAAACTAATAGAGTGCTTTGATTCGTCATCCTTCTTCATCGGAAGTTCTAATGCCGTGTAACAACACTGACAAAGTCGAATGTTTCGTTGACAGTTTTTTTTACCGTTCTTTTTTCTCTATGTGTACACACGTTTTTGTGTTCGAAATAGTGCAATATTTGGTCTCCAAGTCACATTCAATTAGCTGGTTTCCGAAACGGAACGATGCATCGACCCAAGTTTCTCGTTTGTTGTTTTTCATTAATGTCTCTGACTTGCTCCATAGTTTTCGTTTCATGTATCAGAAAAGGGTTCCATTCTCCAAGTTTCCATAGCAGTCATTCAGAGTCTGAGCTCATCTGCATGAAATTGGCATTATACAAATTTTATGTGGCAACGTTGGTTCAAATCGGCTTATCTTTTCCAAACTCGTTAATGCACGCCCTGCGTGGTTCTTTTTTCTCATAGTTCATTCATTTTGTTCTCTTCCCTCAAAATTTCGCTTTTCATCTCACGTACACTGTGAACGTTAGGTACATCATATGATTCATACTTTTTTTACATGCTATTCACTATATTTGGAAATCAGTCGGGAACTGCCCCTCCTTTTTGAAACGCTATAACACAATGAAGAAGGGAGCGCATTTAATCCAAACTTTTCTGTGATCGGTAACATGCATACCAGTTTCTGGTTTTCTCTTCGGTGTGCAGTTTAATCACTTTATTATTATCTTTACTACAACAGCGGATGAAAGGTACCGATTACCTTTTATATAATGTAATGCATGTATATTAGGTTACTTCGATCACTCAAACAAACTGCTGCAAAGCAAAACCGTTTCCAAACTGCAAATAATGCCGTCTCAATTGTTATTGTACTTTGTCCATTGAATCGCTGTCAAACTCGAAAATGATGCAACCTGCACCCAAGGTCATTTCAGAAGCTTCCAGTCGTTTTGATTCAAACACTGATTTTGGCTCGCGTCGTGGTGTGAAAGACTTGTAACGGTCATCAATAATACTGGCGAGCTGAGCGTTGCGATGATACTTAGTGTGACTCTGCCATAGCAAAAACGGCTTGAAAACATGTGAAAGAAGCGCAAAAATATGAAGCTATTCTGATATAAAGTGAAATATTATTGGACACAGCAAGCATAACTAGTAGATCTGACGGTTAATATGGTGCCTCTACGGTGACGACAACTTTCGCGCGGAAACAAATGCTATATCTGCGAGGCTGACGACTTGCTGGCACCTGCGCATAAAAACCGACCATGAAGAGCACGGTGCCACTGTCTACGCGCAGGGGTGTGCCGGCAACGCAAGCACATCTAGTAGACTAGTCTCGGATAAAGGGAAGGAATAATGTTCATTTATAAAATCGTGACGACAGATTTGACTGCGGTCTTTGCGCCCACAAAAGCGTAACACCCTCATACAAAGGCATCACCTCAACGCTCAGCTCGTCACTTCCAGTGTTCAAGTCATACCTGCGGAAAAACCAGTCGAGTAGAGATTAAAACCAAGAAAATGCGGTTATCGGGAGGTGCGTGCGTGTCGCGCGCAATCACGTCATTGTCACGAGTTTTCGAATGCCCTATAGCTGCGAAGCGGGAGCGTAGGGCGCGATCGAGCACCTATTATCGCTGCAGCTCATGGGGTGGTACCGTCTGTACAGTCGAATAGATTTACCGCTTAATATAGTGTGCTTGCACTGGAGGTGAAATGCGGTAAATTTGCGCGTAAAGAAATGGCTACGCCTGTGATGCCCGCCATTTGCGCGCGCAAAATGTTGGCGTTACTGGCGTGGCTGCTTGTTTACGCGCAAATTTTACCGCATTTCACCTTCAGTGCAAGCACACTATATTAAGCGAAAATCTACTAGACTGTATCACCTCATGTGGCATCAGTTGTCGAATGACAGCTAGTAGTCCGACAGTTGATACAAGCGTCAGAGCCTAGACTATTTCTCCGTTATGAGACATCGCGTCGTGATGCTGTTAGACTTACGCGAGGATGCTTGTAGAGTATAGACACAGTGGAGAAGATACCGTCTAATACCTCCATCCAAAAAGGTTAGAATTGTTAAATTTCTTAGAATGTCTCCATTCTTTATGAATGATGAATGATCGATATTATTTTGGAAATCATGGGATACCAACTTGTTACGGAAACTGTTGTTGACAGTCAATGTGTCCCATTTGAGAGTTCTGTGAAAAATTTGAAGTGTCCAATTTAGAACCAGTCATACGGCTGTAATAGCAAAGAAGAACTGGAAGATTGCTTTGAGTCCATCATTTCAAAGTCAGTTCAGCAATTCTAAATTTGGTACAAAAAGTTTTCGAAGTGGTGCGTTCTTGAATCACATGAGAATAAAGGAGGAAAGGAATTGGAATCTATTTTTGAAGTATTTTCTTGGTTGAGCTACGTTCTTCCACATAAATAATCCTGTGTAGATGTGAAAAGCTTCACCCTTTCTGTTGTAGACTAGAAGCCTATTTTGTGAGACCACTTTGGCCCGATGCGCAACCTCTTCATTATTCATAGTTGCAGTTGAAGTTCTCACACTTTATCGGTTATTCTCACCTCCTCGAGTCCAATAAAATTATCGGCACAGGGCATCGCAATCGTGACAGTCGCTCCGATTGCGGCAGACGCGCAGCTCACAAGCCATAAAGCCGGTTGGAAATAGCTTTACCTAATAGCGAAGTGCTGATGAAATTACCTCAATAAAGGGAGCATTTGAGGGCAAAAAGAGTGAAAAAATCGGGAAAATATGGGAAGTTTCAGATCTGGCCCTGCGTTAGCAATAACAGCAATCGATACGATTGTCAAAATCCATGGTGACTCTACCAGCAGGTAACATTTATATACTTTACAGGTTGATTACAAAGATATTTCACTCCTTTGTTTGTAATTTGACGGGATTCCAGTCAGAAGAAATGTACTTGTTCTTAACTACCAATTATGATTTATTATAATTGGTAATTTTTCATACATAACTGATCATGCTGTTATGTGCGCTGTGTTCCCGTTCTTCTCGTGATGATTGCGTCCTTGAAATCGAACACAATTACCCCACCCCCATACGTGCATGTCTTGTCGAAATGACTGCCTGTTTCCCTCCCTTACTGCGCAATTTCTCTATTCTTTTCCGCAGCCTGCGCGAAGTGGTTTGTTTGGTTTTGTCATAGACTACGTACTTCCTGTCTCGTGTTTTTTTAGTAACATTTTACCCTTGCAATGTTTAACCAGACTAAGTATGTTTACCTCTTCTGAAACATGAGATTCTTCAAGGAAGTGGATGTTTTAGCTCTTGTTTCTCCACATTTTTGGAGAGCCTTAGAGTTCGACATCGTTTAGATATAAAGCTGCAATTGTAGCTTTTGCAAATGTACTCGGAAGTGAGCAATTCATGCGCTTCTACTTCTAATTTATCTACTCTTGCTTATGCAGTTTTCTCACTGCTGTCCCCACCTGATTAGTGCAAGTGTCATTCTTAAGTCAACTTGCTGTACATGACTCATTGTTCTCGTTCCTCTTACAAGCCACAGCACTGGAATAATTTACTTCGTTTGCTTCTTTTCGAATTACTCCGCTTTGAGTAACCCAAAAATTCGAAATTTTACATTTTGTTCAGCTTTGCCCAAAGGCGGAATTTATAATTATAATTTTGCATTTTTGCTTTCTATGGTGACGGTAGGCATGCCCTGTAGGTTGAAAATCTCGTGACTGGCTGTGATTACCCAGAGGGGTTATTTAGCATACTGATTATCAAATCACATCCACTGGACATCTATATCTTGGTTTCCCCGTGAGATCGAAGTGGGGTCCGAACCGTATACCTACCATTGCTACATCATGAAACGCTATCGTGGGAACTTGGTAAGTGGTGACCAGTTTGTGGAAGAACCTTCTGTATCAGGTTGCAATGAGTTTTGATCTGAACCCCGTACCTGCTGTAGCGCGTACCATAACCCTATGGAAAAGGATATCGTTTAGAAATGCTCATATATATTCATATGAGAAACCTACGGAGTAACATCGAGGTTAAGGTTATTCAACACTTTGACGACCGAGCCATTTTGGAACACATCAAAATGGATTGTACATCTGAAGTGATCTGCAGTTTAGACTTCTGTACAGCTACCGCGATGCCCTTGTGTTTTATATGACAATCATGGCACTAGTATTCTTACTGCGTAGATGTTACCATAGAACTTTTCGTTTACACTTGAAAAAATGCACGAAAAAGCAGGACGGATGCAGGGCGTGCATACGCACGTATGCACACGATCGTCAATGTGTTAGATTTAAGGTATTGTGCCACTCCTTTCAATTTTCTATCGCAGTAAGGAATGTCAACAGGCAATTTTCAAGCGAATTTAAATTTTCCGAACTTTACTGTAGGCCTACATGAGAACTCATTTCTTGTTATTGCGAAATAAAATTGCAGCAATCGCACATGTGATATTTTGCTACTGGGCTTATTTTGCTTCTATGATTATGGTGCCAACTATGACCCATTGAGTGAATTTGCGGTTATGAGCTTTCGCATACAAAATGTTTTCATATCGTATTAGGCTCAAAAGCTTTTGGGCGAGCTTATTGCAGAATTGCTGCACCTAGACAAAAGTTCTTTTCTATATAAAATACAAAAAGGTTACGGATTTAATATGGAGGTTAACCAGACGCTTTAAAACTCGAAATATTCGAGCTCATTGTAAAGATTCTATTCACTCTGCGCTTGGACAGTTCTCTTCTTAATTTGCTGCAACCAAAATATGGTGAAGTACATACCGATCATAATTACTTTAGGTAATTTTGGAATATTGACTAGTTTACATAGCT